TTTTTTTCTTTAGCAATAATGCCATAATAACATGAATTAAAAAACATTCAACAGTTAAGCCACTAGGTGGAGCACGGTTCTTATGGAATCAAAGGTACAGTTGTACCAATTCAGTCTCGCACAAAAAGCTGCTTTTGTGTTAGTGGTTAATGCAGATTATTTTAATGCCTTCAATGTTTTACTACTTTTCCATTTTATATTTTTTTCCCCATTGTGAGAGTAGTGCTGTAGGCTGTAAAGTTTGATAATTGTTACAGATGAAAGGGACCTGTAGTATTTGCCTGTAAAACCTTTGGAAAGCTAAAAAATAGGGCTCTTGCAAATTAATAATGAAACACAGGCAATAATACATTATCTGCTCGTTTCACACTCCTGATCCATGTAATTTGTTGGCTTACAGATTTAGGTGCATGGAAATTTGAAGCATGTAATTCTTCCAAATGTACAGTCCGTTACAACACTACACATTAAAATAGATTCCCGTGTTCACTATTCCTGAATGATATAATGTGGCACAAGTAAATGAACTATTTTGATTGCAGCAATATTAAGACTGGAAGGTTAAGATGATCCTGTGCTGCTAGTTATGTGAACATTGGGCCCTTTTCCAACTGCCACACCGAAAGCAAAGTCATACAGTATCCTGAATACATCTTACAATATCTAACTTTGGCTTTTACAAAGGCACATCCCAGAACGCCCACAGCCACCCACGTTAAAGCTGAAGAAAGATGTGAAACTTCTACAGTGATGTAGTACACGTTGTTAATTGTTATTTATAGAGCTGGAGTCCAGTTGTAATTGGTGAGAAACTTACACTATGTCAAAAATCTTACCTTGAAAAGCTGTGTTCAAACATTTACCCAATTCACTCCAAAGTAGTCCAAAGTGCTTAATGTAGCAGTTTGATGACCTTTTAAAAGTAACTGCTGAGAATCTGCATTCATTTTACATGAAACAAGAGAATTTAGCACGTAGAAAGAGTGTTGTCAAACTTTTGATTTTTGACCAGATTTGATTGACAGGTGCGCTGCTTGGCAAAAACGGCAAAATTGGGCCAAATTACTTTTTCAAAGAAATAACAAAACAACACTTTTCCTGCATTTTTCATGTGTCCTAGAGCACAGCAAATGCAACGCGAAATGTCTAGGTGTTGTTCAAACCCAAACCCTAACCCTAGCTTGGGCACTTCCGGAACATACTGTACTGTAGATCAAGAAAACCTTGCCTTGAAAAGCTCTGTTTAAACATTTACCCAAATGATTCCAAAGTAGTCCAAAACGCTTTATGTACTGTTGTAGTTTGATGACCTTTTAAAAGTAACTGCTGAGAATCGGCTTTCTTTTTCCAGTATTTGTTTTTTGGATCGCCTGCTGGTATGATATGTTTGGGGCTGTCTGCAGGTCAGGAGTACAAATAACACTGAAATATAGCTTAACTTCTGGCATTTTCTGGGTAGAAATGCAAGAAACAAGAGAATTTAGCACGTAGAAAGAGTGTTTTCAAACTTTTGATTTTTGAACAGGTTTGATTGACAGACTCGTGGCTTAGGAAAAAATAGATTTTTCAAAGAAATAACAAAACCACGCTTTTCTTGCATTTCATATACACAGGAAATGCATCACAAACTGTCTATATGGTCTTTAAAGCCTAACCCTTGCTCGGGCACTTCTGCAACCTACAGTAAGTGTAGTGATGCTGTTATTTGCGACAGAAAAAGAAAAATTTGGGTGAGAACGGAAGACTTAACAAGGTTTTATTGCTTCCTCAAAGCGGTGAGTGCATCTTTTAACTGCTGCTGGTTACACTGTGATGCAACAGTACAGTCAGATCATCTATTTGAGGTCTGGAGATTTAGCTATATTCTTTTCAAAAGTTAAACACCTTTCATTAACAAGAGGATGTGAAGGAACAAACTGCACATATCATTCAGTGTTGCTTTGTTGCTGTATGCCTGGGAAGAAA